TAATGAATGGTGCAGCTTAAGTCATTTCATTTTGGAGCTGGTCTTGAGGTTGCTGCTGCCTTTTTTATAGTGCTGCTGGCGCCATGAAATATTAAATTACGAGCTGCTGTTTGTGGTCACCCCTGGCCTGCCTCTCCCTCCATACGACCCTGTCTCTCATTAGAGAATAAGAGAGGGAGATACATTCCACATACGCCGTGTGTTCGCGAGGTCTTCGTTTGCGAATGAAATTAATAACTAAAACGTTGCAGAACCATAAAAAGGCCCTCCAATCGACCAAATTGAAATTCCCAACTTGCTGAATTAATAAGTTAATTTCTGCAAACGCCCCACCACGTCCAATCCATCTGCACATATTGAAATGTTTTGCATAATTACAGAGAGATCTTCTCCAGTCCCCCATTTTATGTTGCCCCATTTATGACTTTGGCTAATTTACCAAGGGGGTATGGTATGGTATGGGAGGGGGGACTTTTATGAAGCGGCCTGCCATTAAAAAGGTTAAAGTTGAGGCTCAGCCACGTAATGACTATTTTTGGGGCGACTCGGAGGGATCGGGCTTACACTTTCAGCTCATGTTAATTTCTCGGACATTTATGGCAATTGCCTGACACATGTTTGCGGCAATCTTTATGGGGGTTAATGGGTTGAAGAGCTTGCAGCAAGTACTTAGGAGGAATGTCGAAAGGATTACTTGGGTGCCGGTTGCCAGTCGTTCCAGGGATAGATACGGGATAGGAAATGACTTGATTTTTACTCTTTACTTGCAGTAAAAGCTATTTTGGAGGGAAATTAAAGAAGGGAGATCTTTACTAGCTCTGCTCAAGTATCATTTATCTCCAACTATCTCTCTACCATTAGCGGAATTGATGGGATTCTTTTCGTCTTTTGAGAAAGGCCTTCTATACCTTTCACTGGCACTGCAATGGCAATAATTATGGAAAGATCTTTGACTCATATGGCCAATACGTTTGGCCGAAATCAAATAACGATAAAAAATCACACGAATATTAATTCGAAGAATTGCAAAGACCTTCAGCCAAAAAGGCAACTCCAGTGCCAAAGCCAAAGCCAAAGGCAAAACCCAATGGCAGAGCAAAAGCCAAACTGTTTATGAAATTTATAGTTGCGGTCTAGGAAGAGAGACTGAGACCGCAATCGAGTCCCAGTTCCAGGTTCTCCCGTACCCCCAATCGCCATTCCACAGCTGGTCGTGTGAGAATGTCTGGGGCACATGTGCCTTAGTTCTCGGTCCTCTATCCTCCATCCTCTGTTCTCGTCCTGGTCTGGCTCTGGCCCTGAGTTCAACTGCAAAAAGGCCAAGCACAAGCACAAGCCCAAGCAAAACAAAAAGCAAAAAAGCATCCAATCCAACTACTGGCCAACTCCGAAGACCGAAGCTCTAATGCCAATACAAAGCTGGAGTCTTTGTTTTTTACCCTCTCCCTCTGCGGATTTTATGCGATCAACTTCCATGGAAGTGGAAGCTTAAGCCCAGCGACGAAAATATTTATATATATATAGGTATTTGAGCGCAGACTTATCGCCCAACAAGATCAATATGCACGATATCAATATGCTCTTGGTGTTGTTCCAGTCCCGAACAACAAGAACCACAACGCTGGACGAACAAGATCCAAAAGCAGGGTTAGCCGCGGAGGGAGACCGAGCGGGGAAGCGGCGCGACAGAGTCGTAAGTGGCAATGGAAGTGGGGTAGGGTATGCTCCAGTTGGGGGTGCTTCCAGTGTGGAAGCACTTAGAGGGAGTAAATTATAGGTGACGTATAAGGTTCTCACAATCATTTCTATCCTAGTCAATAAACAGAAAGGAACCATTCCTTCTTCCATTCATCGAGTTTTCCAGACCTTAATAGACCCTGAAAATTATGTACATACTTATACCCTTTCTTTCCATGATGACGAATATTCGCTGAGCAATTTTTGGGCCAGAACTGTCTGCCCGTCAGTCTGCCAAGATTTGTCCCGCTTGTCAATATGATTAGACGGATTTAATTTTGTGTTAATATAATTTTTGTTGCTCGAGAAAATTCGCAGAACTCAGAGAAGCAAGAGAAATACACAAAGAGTCCTCTACACACAACGAAACCGACGAAACTAGCGACGAAGTCAGGCCAGATGATGGCATAGGACGATTGGATTGGATAGGATTGGTTTGGTTTGGTTTGGTTTTGGTTTCTGTCCCAGTGCCTGTGCCTGTGGCTGTGGCTGTGGCTGTGCCTGGACTCATGCCCTGCCCGTTCGTTCCCCTGTCTGGTTGTGGCATTTGCATATTTTGAATGTTCGCGGGCGACTCGTGGCACGTTTAAACAACAAAAATGCTATCGATGATTGTGGGCGAGTCATGCGGTTGTCTCTTGACGACCTTTTCATAGTTCTCCATGTCTGCGCTTGTCGCTTGTTCCCTTATTGTTGCTGTTGTCAAACAATTGTCACAACGTGTCGGCATTCACACGAACTTTATGTTTTATCCAACACCTCGGCGCAAATCTCTCAAGGGTTAAAGTTTGCCCAAGTCTCCGAAGGGGGTTATGGGACGGCCTCCAGAGCGGAGTCTGGTTTTCGGATTCCTTCCACAGGGATATGTGATCCATCGCCCTACCGCATTGCTGGCATTCATCAATAACATTCTGGAGTATGTCTTGTCCGGCGGCGGTGTTCAATCAAAAGTTCCATACAGTTTTGTATGAAAAAACCAACACCCATGCTGAAGGGTCCTTCAATTCTTAGCTAATAATGAGCGGAACCTCAGCGGTTCCATTGTTCTGGCTCCCCTCTGACTCCTCTTCCAATATGTATTTATTATATTTATGGCACAATTTTGCTTTCAAAATGCTGAGGAACAAAAAGAAACACTTGTGCCAGGACGGGCCCCGGTACCGGCCCCTGTGCCTGCCCCTGCCCCTGCCTCTGCCCCTGGCTGACAAGCGGAATATCTTTTTTCTCGCGATCGATGGAAGAAACGAACGATCGATCGGTGGATGGTCGGATGGATTGGCTCCTTTGCTGAATAGATCACTCAACCAAAATGAATTATTGATGGACTGATCAACAATAAACACAAAAAACTGAAAGCAAAGAAGAACTGTAAGGAGGTGAGGGAACTCTCCGAGATGAAATGTAACCAGAGCTTTGACTTAATGTGGCAGTTCAACCAGATCGATATGTCCATATAACCGAATCGAATCGAATCAAATCGATCGAGCTGCTCAAGTTTTGTGACTTTGTCAAGTCCTCCTCCTCCTCCTCCTTCTGCTCCTGCTCCTGCTCCTACGGATCATTTGTGATATATTGTTTCGGTAGCAGTTTGTTAAACGTGATCAATTTTTAATTACCCATCATCATCATCCATCCAGGCAAGCACCGATCGGTGATCGGCGATCGTCCATCGACGATCCGTCGTCCGATTGTCGTATCAATCGCACCGCACAGAATGTAACTCGGACGTTTGTCGCATGTCATTCAACGATTTATGCCCTCTGAGCGACTTTAATAAATGTGTCTTTGCCGCTTTTGGCCTGCACTCTTGGTACGAGCCTCCATCCTTGGTCCCTGTCCGATCCCCATTCCCTCCTTCAGTCAAGGCATCATTGATTGAGGCGACTTTGGCACTGATGATATGGCGCCGTTGTCTTCGCCTGCTCCTGCTCCTGCTCCTTCGCCTCCTCCCTCCCTACCTCCTTGTACCAGTCCCTAAACGGAGCGTGTGTGCGTAAAATGTTTAATTAGTTTTGTCTAATTAACACTTGGAACATGGCAATAGCGACTTGAAGTGTGCCACCAGAGGCGTGAACATCAAAAGGTAAACAAGCGGCAATGCCTGGTAGGAAAGGAGGTAGGCAATGGACGTGCGTACCTCTGCAAAGAGCTACGAGTGCTCTAGAAACTGTTCCTTGTTACGAAATGTTTGTCATGATCTAGAGGAGGACTCGTAGGGTCTAACAGTCTCGTTTCAGTCCCTTAAGCCCTTCAGTTCTTGCGATCAGAGCATTCTAAGCGATCACGTAACTACCTTCATACACAGACATTTCCCCTGAAGCTTTGTTTCATCTTCCCCTTTTAGTCTTTACTTTGGATTGCCCTGGACCAACAACATAATTTCTACATCTACACACGCCCATTTTGCCACCAGGCTTCCACAGATTGGGAGCCAGAGCTCCCAGAAATCCAGAGTCTAAGGTCTTGGGCCCTTGGGCAGCACACAAATGAAAGAGAACGCCCACAGCACGCGCCAAACAGACAGACCGGAGGGAGCGACCCAAAAGGGAGCCCAGAACCGACCAGAAATGGACCTGGAGATGGAGTTGCAGAATAGAGGGAGCAGCCAAGCTGGCTGCCAAAACTCCGGTGAAAATATTTGCCACTTGAGTTTATGTTTGTGGCCCGTTCTCGGCTCTCGGGTCTCGGCCCCCGGCACCCTTCTGGCCATGGCTCGGTCACTTGAAGTTCTTGGCTGGCGTTTATTTTTGTTTTGGTACGGGGCGCAGAGCAAACAAATTAAAAAGTAATTCACAGGCGCAGCATAATTAGCTGCTAAGCGACACTAATGGGGCCGCAGTTGAAGCACAGTTGCAGTGCCCCCAAAACGCCCCCAGCCCAGCCCTGCCCGTCTCCGCCTCCTCGTCCGTGCCCCATTCTGACTGCACTTTTTCGGTTGCTCGGCGGTTCGTGGTTCGTGGTGTGTGGGCAAAGTGGAGTTCTCCGCGTGGTGATTGAGGGGCGACTTTACTTTAAATTTTCCCCTCCGTTTTCGACTAATTGAGTTTGGTGTTTCGTGGTCCACACGGCTCTTGGCTCCCTTGTGGCTGCCAAGTCTTGGGTTGGCCGTAATTGATGTGCCTGATGAAAGGAAAGGTCATTATTGTGATGAAATCGATGGAATAGAGAGATCTAGAGCTAGGGAATTGCTAGATAATCTCAGGAAATCTTGTAATTATTGTCAAGTCAAGTCGGGAAACTAAACACATTTCACATACAGCTACACGAACAGACATATAGTCTATAAAATGGTAAGTTCAGAAGGGAATATTCTATGTGTACGCACCTGATTCATAAGTATCTTCACACCAAAAGCCCCGTTCTGGTAAGGAAGGGAACGGGTACAGGCATAGTAATCTACGATTGAAGGAGATCTTTACCCACAATGAAGATGATAGGCTCCATACTGAAACGACGCGCGCCAAGAAGGGCAAGGATGACGAATATAGCAAAGAGGATAATATACACTATATACAAAAAGAGGACTCCAATAAGGGGTACACCGAAGAAGTCGAAGAATATTCCATAAAGGATCACTATACAAAAAAAAAAAACTCTAACAACACAAAATTTACTAAAGAGAAGACGTCAATCGATCCGAAAATCGTCATGGCCTGCTGGGAAAAGGCAGATGAGTATGTGAATCAAATCATAAAAGCTCAGGATGCTGCTATCGACCACAATACCAATGCATCGGACAGAGAGCTCAAGGAAAAGGCCTCCAAAAGGAACTTCTATCACAAGGCAGAGGCCCAAATTAGGCCAGATATTTGCTACTCCTCCGAACAGCCTTCCGAACAGGCAAATGATTACTCTGACAGCATCCTCAAAGAAGAAATAGACTCTTCGAGTGATCAGGATACAACGGCTTGTCCAAGCGACCAATCCACTGACAATTCTTTGAGCTACAGTCAAGTATTTAGCGAGATTTACGAAGAGTCCATAACGCGTCAACAGAGGGCGGACAAACTCTGTCGTGCCTACAATCTGAGTAAATCTCCACACTATGCCGAATATAGGTCCTATCGAACGGACGAAGAATCGGAGGCATCCACATTCAGGAGTTTGAGTTCCGAGTGCTTCAGCGATGTGGCACATAATCCTGAAGAAGCTGATGATCAAGCGACAGATGTGCTCAATTATGATAGCATCAAAGCAAAGTTCGTCACCTCTTTAGAAACTTTTTATAATCCCGAACATGAGGAGCAGCAAGCGGGTCCGGAAGAGGAGACTACAGCTACAAATAGTAGTGTCGATTCGGAATGCTCTAGCGTTTCTGGTAATATATCCCAAGATTCCGATGATCAGTCTAGTGGTGAGCTCGATTACGATGCTCTCATTCAGGAGCAATTGAGGATCATAAGCGAGTATGAAAACAAGGATGCCCTAGATAGCGTGAGGAGCTCATTTAGACGATCGATAACCAGCGATGTGGTAGAGTTTGATTCAGGGCAGAGTGGAGAAAGTGAAGCGCAATCGCATTGTAGCTCTAATGGAGAACTATCGCCTAGGCTTTCACCAAGGCAATTAGCTAGCAGCTCGAGCTCAACAAGAAGCCTCAAAGAATTAAATGCAGGGCCAAGCCAATTATATTCGTTTCGATCTCTCAAAGACCGGTGTGAATACTCTTCTCGTGGAATACCAATAAAATCACAAGAACTCAGAAAAATTAACGAGAATATCAGCCCTCAGAGAGATCAACTCACGGATCAGGAGGAGATTTTGGAAGCGGAAAGCAGTGACAGAGAGATGACAGATCGAACCTACAGCGACAGTTCCACATCATCAACGATATCGCTAGCTTCCGTACGAAGAGATTATCTGTGCGGCAGCACAGGTCATCATCATTATCATCATCATCGTCGTCAGCGTCGCCTTGAAAGTGTGCCCAAGGCATATCGAGATCGTGGAAGTAGTCCCATTAACATTAAGACGGCGCGATTCCGCCCCATGTCGGAGACAGTTGACAGTCAAAATGAGAAAAGTACGGATAGTTTCAGTACCAAATCGATTGCTTCCATTGCGATACAATATCCCAGCGATGATGAGCAGAAGGATCCGAAGACGTCCCGAAGTTGCTTGGGTGTAAGTTTATACAATGCTGATGAGGCACTGGTAGAATTGGCAGATTTCAATTGTCCTTTGGTCATGGGTGAGAGTTCAGATTACTTGGACCTATCGATCTCCGACGATGAGGATCACATCACTTCTAAGCTATTGGCTGCAGCTCTGACCTCCAGAAGTAAAAGTAGGAGCACCAGTGCCAGAAGCACTCCCAAAGATGACCATGAGTCGATCATGAGCTGTAGGCCAAGAGTAGCGTTCAAGCGACGCTCAGAGACGGAGGAGGGCCACTGTAGGAAAAACCGTTTATATAGAATAGCCGAGGGCATTCTGAGTGCCTCTTTGCAAAGATATCAACATATGACAGTGGAATACGAGATGGCCAGTGGAGATGATGATGATGATCCATTACATTTTGATATCTCTTGCAAGATTCAGACATTGGAGTTCAACAAGAAGTTCCAGCATCAGCTGCATTCTCTCAAAGAGATTTTTCAATGAATCGTTATAGCCAATATATATTTTGTATGTTTACCAAATACAATTACGTGACATCGAATAAGGCTAAGACTCATAATTTGTTCACTGCACACGATTTCAGTTCAAACAATGGCCAAGACAATTCCGGGCAGAATGATTTAAGTGCTCCAAATGTTGGCTGGGAAATGACGTTGCAAGGTGCCTGTGTCTGCATTGGGGCTGGGTCTGCGTCTGCACCGGGGCTGGGGCTGGGTCTGGGGCTGGGCTGGGTCTGGGGCTGGATCTGGTTGAGGAAACTACTTGAAACTTTCAGCAGTAGAGCAGCCGCCTGGCAGTCTGCTTGGTTCGTTTCTGGGGTCCTATGCAGAGGTGCATAAATCAACTTTAGTGCAGGCCAAGTATCTTGCTGAAGGGCGCAGCTCTCAAGTGGGAGACAAGACCTGTGTAGAGTACGAGGCAGAGGCATGGGCATGGGCATGGGCAGGGTAGCTGACTCTGAGCATAATTAGCCCATGGCTACTGTTAGTCTAGTCGTGCACTCCCCATTTGCTCGTTTTCCTCCTCCCTTTTCATGGGGAGTAGACCATTTATTTTCTTTACACATACTAAATATGCTGGAGTTGTTTACATGATCGATCAGGAATCGGGCGGCACCGAGCACTGACGGTACCATTCCCTAGGTACCATTATGCTGCCTTGCATACTCGGGATGCACTTAATTGCTAACCAAACACAGATCTTTGGGCTGCAATCGGTGGTGGTGTAGGAGGAGGCACGCAAATATTGTTTTAAGGCACATCAACATATCTCACCTGCCTAATGTGATCCGCATATGTACGATATGTACATAGATACTCTCGAAACTGAGTGAGTGGTGGTGTGCTTGCATTCGTTCCATAGTTTTCTCTTATAATGAAGTGCGCCGGGATATGTTTATAATTTACGATACAATTCCTTGGGTGTGGGGAGCGAGAGAATCTAATCTGGCGATTAGCTTTTCCATTTCGTATTTTTGGTAGCTGGTAGTTTCGTTTTTGGTAATGAAATGGCTACGTGATCTCTTGAATAGAACTTTGGCTCCTGAGCAATCTCTACTCAGTCCACACATTGCCTAAGGGATCACTTCTTCGGTTAAATTCCCTGCCCAACCATCGCACTCTCTCCGCAACCTGTTGCCGGCGATAATCTAACTGATTCCCAATTTCCATCTAAGCAATTTCCCACACGCACTGCCCACATGGATACCCGATGAGGCCCACTTGACTCTTGTGGTCATCAGGTGAGCGCACACGGCATAATTTAGACAATTCCCTTCATTTATTATGAAAAATGCACTCAATTTATATGACTTGATTATATGCGCCTTCCTTTTTTCCCCATTCGCGTTGTCCATTGGCCATATTTGCTTAAGTCACCGCATGCCGCCCATTGCCATGACATGGCCATGGACATTCTGCCGGGACATGGCCTAAACAAGACTGCGACAACAGCATCAAGAAGTTGTGGATGAGGTAGATTTGCTCCAGGCGCACCCCACGCCAATTTATTAAAGCCAACACCAAGAAAATGTTCCCTGGCACAGGTTCTCCTCTGGGTCCCCTTTAGTTCTCTCCGGTTCTCCTTGGTTCTCCTTGGTTCTACCTGGTTATCCTGGGTCTGGAGGCCATTGGATATGAAAAATTGCACTATACGGCCAGGGCTCATATGCAAAATGCATAATTCATTTAACATTTTGTAAATCATTTGTTTGAATAGCACGATGACGATGATGCGCGGCTAGCTCCCATAGTTCTCGCGGCTCGATCTACCCCTCGACTTGGAGCCCTGCAACAACCTGCCACAGACGAAGCTCCGACTCTTTTTGGCCCAACTGTTAAGCTATTCGTCTGCCCTGACAAATCGAGAGTTGAGTCAAGTCCAGTCCGGGCAGAGTCTCTCTCTCTCTGCTCCAGTCTTAGCCGCAGTCCTGCTGCAGCTACACAATGGCCATGACGATGCGCAAATATAATTTCACAACTGTCTGCACATGGTCCAAACGAAACGAGACACACCATATACTCAAGGCAAAGATACACTAAAAGAAATCTGACAGAAAAAACAACAAAATTCGTGTTTTAAATATAAAAGATGCCTTCTTCAATGCAAAAAACATTGATGTGAAAGTTGGAGCTAAATAATTGATCTAAAAAAACAGTAATTATCAATACTTGGGAGACAAAGTTGTCAGTCTTTTTTCTCCAATTCTTATAGAATTTAATATATAGGTTACACAAATACTGCTCCATCTATTTAATGGTCATAATTGTATTAGCCACAATTGCAACCAAATAATTTCTCTCAGTGCACCAGCGAGACGAAAGCATCTGTGTCCGAGGTCTGGCCAGGGCTCAGCCATAAGTCACAACGCCGCAACGACTTTTGAGGCTGGGGATAAGCCTTTTTATTATTATTTGTATTTATTTTCTTCATCTTTTTGCCGTGTTGTTGTGCTGCTTTTTGATTCCTGTGAAATTTGCATGCGCTGGGATTCCGATACCAACTCCAACCCAGTCCCATTCCCAATCCCAATCCCTAGTCCGATCCCGATCCCGATCGTCCAACGAGCTAATTTCGTTTTGTGTGTGCGAATATTGAAAAATTACAAAACTTTTGATGGGGACTGGGAGGGGGATTGATGCTGCCGACCAGCCGGCCAGCCAGCCAGCTGGTCCCCTCTGTCCCTTGAGATTTCTTGGGAACCCAGTTTCTGGCTGGAACTGCCTGTAATTTTAATGATCTTCCACTGACATCGTAACTCAATAAGCCCCAGCGATCGTTCCAGACAGTCAGTCTGGGATCAGCTCGCTTCGCCGATCTTCGGCTTTCCCATCCAACAATTTATCATCTTTGGCTGCACTTTGAAAAGTAATTAAGGTTTCTCCCAACATGCGTGTGGTCATAGGACGGATGGATCCATACACCAGGATGATGATGGGGCTGGCTGCTGGCTGGGTGTGTACCCAAAGAAAACTATTGTAACTCGAGTGTGGCGTTAAATTTTTGATTAAAAAACTATTAGCCAAGTGTTAAAATTATCATTATCATTATCGTTAATGTATTGTTATGGTGCCAATGCGTCTGGTCTGGGCTTGGTCCAAGCTGTTCCAATACTTTTATTTTTTGTTTAACAAATTGGGTGTTCCGCTCCGTGGCTTTTTGGATTAAATTATTGATGTCTTTTGTGTTCTTGAATTGCTTTGATTGCCGCCTTATGGTATTTCTGAGGTGGGAATAGAAGGATGAGATACATCCATTTTGGACCCATAGGGAATTCCAGTTGGTTCTAAACTATCAAAGTCAAAAACTTTGTTTATTAATTCCCTTATGGCAAACTCTAATTCCCATTAGTAATCACTAACTGTTTACCCGACAACTGTAAAAATAATTAAATTAAAAAATGACAACCGCGAAAATTAGTTGACCACAAAAGCCGCCAAATGGAACCACAAAAACCAACAGCAAAAAAATCACAATAATGAAAGCAAACCACTAATAAAATATATAGCTGTAGAGAAACCATAACTAGTATAAATTAATTTATGTAATTTAAATGTCAGACCATATTTAAGTTTGGAACAAAAACCGAAAATTAGACTTTACAGCGGGCATGGCCAGTGAGCGGAGCGGCATGTGTTCGCTCAATTTAAACGTCCGGGGGCCCTGTCACTCTCCCGGGCCGGGTCTTTGCCTAGGCAATTCCCCAGTTGGCTGTGTTGCACCTCCCCCTGCCTCACCCCTCTCTAGCACCTCGCTCTCTCTGTGTCTCTCTGTCTATGTGCCATTCTCCTAACTTGTCTATGGGGCAAACTGCCGCCGCAGTCGTCGGCCGTTTCCGTCGTCAATTTATAAACGCGTTCAGCTTAAATTGCAACAAATAGTCGCTTATTGAAACTTAAATTGTGCCGACACAGAAAGTGAACGAACCAGCAAGCAGTCGAACTGTTCACAGAGCGAGTGCGAGAGCGAGAGGGCTGCAGCGGACCAGAAAGAGACAGCTGGAGAGCAATGGGTTTTGTATGGGTTTTGGGTTTTGTGTCAACAAGTTTTTCTCTCTCTCTCGCTTTTGGCCATTTTTTCACTCGTTTTTTTTTTTTGTATATTTCTGTTCTGTGTCAGTCGTTGACGTTGTTGGGTTTGTTGTGTGGTCGTGGCTTGATTTGTTTAAAGGTTTCTGGTTCTGGAACTTGGGCCTCATGGACCTCTTTCCATGGGAAAGAAGTTTTGTATGATGTTTTGATGTGTTGTTTGGATAGAGCTTTGGTAGAGGGCGGTTGATCATTGAGTGATGTTCTGTTACTTATGCAAAGTACGATAAGAGTAGTTTAATCTCTTTTAAATATTCCGTTTACGGTTATGGGTTTAATTTTATATAAGTAAAGACCTATTAGGGTCAAAGGAAAACTTAGATTAGATTAGATTTGCATTGAAGCTGATAAAAGGATTAAACTTATCATGTATGTCAGGATAAATGGATAATATACTAAGAATTGGGTTTTTAATCAATCGAATAATTAATTAATTACATTTCTAAACACGTTTCTATACATTGAACCAATCAAATCGTATAAAATATTCCTTACAACTTTCTTGAAGTGCAGTTTTTGACAAGTGTAATTCAGATTTGGATGCCAAAATCTAAGCCAATCCAACATTTCTCTAAAAAAATTAACTATATAAGCTCCTCCATTCTGGCCGTAAGCTCCAAACGAAATCAAATCGAAACCAAACTCGTTTTATGGCCACCTTTGGCTGTAGCGAAGGGGGACAGGGGATAGTGGAAAGAAGACGGCTAAAACGAGTGGCATCCAGATACAAAATTTAATTGCACGCCACAACATTTTTCTGGCTGATTTCTTCCTTTAATTTCAATTCCACACACACACCGCAAAAGGTAGGGGCTTTGGGGGCACCAACGGGCACAGCAAATCTCATCGACAGCCGGCCGGCGCAATATAATTTCTTTCGATTAATCCAATCGATTTCTATTCAATAAATCAAAATATGAATTCGT